ATCGTAATAATCGTAATAATAGTAATAATAGTAATAGTAGTAATAATAACAATAATAAGAACGGCTTGGGGAGTGCAAAGACGATCCAAGCCACTCCTAGCCGGATCTAGGCGCACTTTGTTGGGTTTTGGGTCTATAGGGTTTAGGGCTTAGGGCTTAATTGGGCTTATTGGGTTTAGGGCTTATTGGGTTTATTGGGTTTATTGGGGTTTAGGGCTTAGGGCTTATTGGGTTTGTTGGGCTGAGGGTTTATTGGGTTTTCGGGTCTATTGGGCTTGGTGGGTTTATTGGGTTTAGGGTTTATTGGGCTTATTGGGTTATTGGGTTTAGGGCTTATTGGGCTTATTGGGTTTATTGGGTTTAGGGCTTGTTGGGTTTATTGGGTTTAGGGCTTAGGGTTTAGATTCTTACGCCTGGCACCCGACACCGTCCTGCTTGCCGCCCATGACGTGCTTGCCTGCACACAAAAAACCTAAACCCTAAACCCTAAACCCTATCTCAAGCAGCGTGAAACCCGGAATCCCAGCAGCCTCGAATTGCAGTTGAAACCTAGATCTTGGGTACTGCCAGTAACAGTCTATAATCGGGCCGCTACTATGGGCCGTATATATCCATATTATGAATATTAAACTTAACTGTTACTGGAGTGGGGGCAGTATCCAACCGACATGCTACAAACACCCAGAAACCTCAAACGAAAACCCTAAACCCGAAACCCCAAACCCTAAACCCTAAACGAGCCGTTGAGGACATAAAGCGGTGGAACTCCAGAGCCACGGCTCAGGGTCTAAAGGGCGCCACAGACCTTGGCCTCCCTTAACACCTGAAGCCTGTATCATAGTATGTTTATAGTGTACTATTACAGTCTAGCATACTACAATATATTCTAGTATATGCTATATTATACTCTAGTATGCTATATTAATATTATCCTATATTAAACTATTCCCCTCTGGCAGTCAATCTTCAAAACGAAGCCCTGCACCGCACACAGCAGCCCGCCTGACGTCATGTGCGTGTAGAGCCCCAAGGCATGGCGCAACTCGTCTTCGGAAGCTGCGACAGGAATGTCGATCTTGTTGCCTAGCAGCTCGGTAGGAGAATTTGGGGTTTTTGGGGTTTAGAGTTTAGGGTTTAGGGTTTAGGGGTTTAGGGTTTAGGGTTTAGGGGTTTAGGGTTTCTTGTTGTGGCAGGCAGGACCAGATCTCGCTGTGCAGTGTGCAGGCAGCTTGGGGTCAGGGTTCGCATCTAGTGTAGCGACCTTAAATAGTTGGAAGAGGGTTTTGGGGGTTCCTTATTGTAACGAGTATAATATACTCCCCAAACCTTTTTCGAACTATTAAGGCGAGAGACTTTGGAGTCTTGAGGATCCTTCTGGGAGTGTCGGATGTAGGACTTGGAATTCATGGCTGTCCCCGAGAGCATCTGAGAATTATGGTCTTGGAGAGGGACCCTCAAGGAGTTACGGCTTCGAGGGAAAACCCTAATCCCCAAACCCAATCGGGTCGAGGGTTTCGGGTTTAGGGGTTTAGGGTTTAGGATTTCGAGTTGTCGAGGATGCAAACTGTGCAAAGGCTGGGGTGCGTTCTACGTTTTAGTTCCCTTTCGAAGGGATACCGGCGACACCCAAAGAGCAAAGAGCGGCCCTCCAAAATATTCTCATCAACGGCGCAACTGACAGTCCAACAAATCTCCGAGTAGGCTAGCTGCAACAAGCAGGAAGAACGTCCAGCTTCACAGTACCACGGGACTCAACCAGTCTTCCTTGTCTACAAGGCAAGTTATAATCCCAGAACCCCTAAACCCTTAAACCCTAAAAGCCCCCTAAACCCTAAACCCTAAGAGCCCCCCTAAACCCTTAAACCCTAAACCCTAAGAACCCCTTAAACCCTAAAAGCCCCCTAAACCCTTAACCCTAAGAGCTATAATCCCTTCATCAGCCCTAAAGGCACTTCAAGAGACCTGGCCTAGCACTGCAAAGGGAACCCGGGCCAGCGCCGGATCCTTCGCTTCCGAGAAAGTTGGGGGTTTTAGGGTTTAGGGTTTATTGGGTTTAGGGCTTTAGGGTTTAGGGTTTAGGGTTTTTGCGGGCTGACGGCCAGTTCGCTCAAGTCAACACCGCTTCACCCCAAATGGGGTTAGGGTTTAGGGGTATAAGGGGAGGAGGGGGGGGGGTTGGCACAGGGTTGCCTTCAAGAAGCCCAAGACGAAAGATCTATGAATCTCTGCGCTGCTACTTGCAAAATTTTCGAGAAGGGCCGTTCCCGAGCATGGCCCATAACTCGTGCAGCGTTGTAGGTCTCGCTAGACATGTTGACAACCTTGACAAGGCTGTGACACCTATGCCCAACATACGGCACCAGGTCGCAGCACTGTCAAATTCGACGGCAACGTGTCCTCGAGCAGGCGTCCAATCTCTTCGGAAGCCTGCGCGCTAATGCTACAAGCGGCAGTTATGAGCGGAATGGTGACCATCTGCCCGGATGATTGTTGAGGAGCAGTCTTGATGATGGTGCTGGTGATGCTGAATCCTCCTATGGATGGCGATGGTGAGGATGAGCATGGTGATGATGACTGAGGTGATGGAGATGATGGCGACGATGACAATCATGGTGATGATGGTAAAAGGAGAAAGAGGGATGATGATAATGATGGTGATCATCATCATCATGATGCTGATGATAGCAGAGATGCTATGGCAATCGAAAAGAGGAGAATCAACATGATCGTGATGGGGTTGGTGATTGCAACGGTCACGATGCTCATGGTGGTGGTCTGGGTCGTGGTGGCAGCAACCATCGTGGTGTCGATGACACTCGGCGTAGCGGCGGTGATAACGAATGCGAATGCCACGGTCGCCATGGTAAACTTCTTGTTTGCCCTGCCATGCCTGCTATCATCACAGCTACCAGTAGCCGTTTGCCCCTCTGCCCCTAATGTAGCCAGCCCTCTGGGCTAAAGCTAAACTAGCTCAACTCTAGCCTCAGCGAAACGAGTTCTGTCTGCAGCATCGACCAGGAAGATTATCCCGTCGACGGCCGCGAGGTAGTCCTATGGTCGGTGGGCTTGGAGCGGCTTTTTCGATGACTCTGGCAGGCTGATAACTTCTATTTAAACTAACATTTTTGGGCGGAATTCGGATTTAAACCAACATTTCTGGGCGGAATTCGGTGGAATACTGCTGCAGAAAACATGCGGCCGTAGCATGAGCTGGGGTCCTGTCCACCATCCCAGCAAAGCAACTTGACATCTCAAAGCGCACGGGTCCTTCCAGATCCTGCGTGCTGTCTCGTGACCACCGAGGTCGAAAGTGCGGAAGCGGATGCCCTGGATGCAAAGCTCCTGTGGCCAGGAAAGGGCCCGGTGCACAAAACGACCCTGCATGGATCCTGCTCTGCAAGGCTCGGGCCCAAACCTGTCCAGCCAGATATTCCGCGACCTTCTAGGCCCCAACACTACGTCACCGCAAGACTTAGCCCAACACCGAGACCTCCCGACACCCTGCGCCTCTTGGTTGGGATACAGCGTCGGGGCATTCACGCCGAGCCTGCCATCGCGCAGCATCTGCAGCAGCGTGGTCTTCCTCTGCCGGCTTGCAGGAGCTCAGGCTCACGCGAGATGAGGGTTCTAGAAACAGGCTGCTAGAAGGATCCTACCTTGCGGGCTACAATGTTGTCTTGAAGTTTCTGGTGGCGGCTACGATGTGTTCCAAAAAGGGCCCAGAAAGAGGAAGCCGTACCTTGGAGCCGAAGTTGCAGGGAACCCACACACCCTCGGATCGCAGCAAAGGAGCCCCGCGTTGTCAAGGCCCAGAAAGCAGATCTTGGCATTCCTAAGTCTGGGTTGGGAGTTGAGTTGCGGAGGCGGCAGATTGATGTGTATGTCTGTATGTACGCATGTTTACATGATTGTGGGTTGACGATCGGGTGCAGTAGGGCTTAGGGCTTAGGAGTTCGATACATATACATGTATATATATATATATTTATTTATTTATTTGTTTGTTTGTTTATTTATGTATACATAGATATATATATATACCGATACCCGAACCTCGAACTAAAGCAAAAGCAAAAGCAGAACACCGCCGAATCCAGCATCGAAACTGGCAGCCGGCTTTCTTTGAACCCTCAAACGGCTGAAGGCTGAAGTTTCCGAAGCAAGCAGGAATATGTAATCAGATCTGTGAGAAATAAAGTCTTGGGTTTAGTGATGAGGGTTAAGGGTTCCTATGTAGCCACTTATTGCTTCTCGTTTAGGGCGTTTAGGGCCGGCCGGGGGTTGATTGTTGATAAAAACCTCAGTTTAAAAACCGAACGTCGTTGCAAACATATGGGCTGGAACTGGACACACAGAGCAAACATCGGTAAGATGTCGAAGACGAGATCACTACACTGCGACATCCAAACCTCAAAGCCTCAAATTCCGTTACGGTTGGGACATGTTTTCAAACTGTTGCGGCAGACCCAAAAATGAATAATAACAGCTCAATCTGTAGAACCCTAAAACCCTGTAGCACTAAACCTGAAACTAAACCTAACAGCCCAAACACCCTAACACCCTAAACGCCCAACCCCAGAGCAGCCCTAAAGCCCTGTACCCCAAACCCTAAAACCTGAAACCCGAAACCCTAAAACCCTAAAACCCTTAACCCTAAACCCTAAACCCTAAAACCCCCAAACCCTAAAACCCTAAAACCCTAAAGCCCCAAAAACCCCAACCCCAAAACCCCAAAACCCTTTCCAAAGCCGATCCCCTAGGCTTTAGATGTTTGCCGGGCTGAGGAGCTTCTGCGCAAGGAGACCTGAGACATGACTCTTCGGTGGAGCTTTCGTCAAGAACCGCCCCCGGGCTCTTCGCATGGTTTAGGGTTTTAGGGGTTTCTTAGTGTTTAGGGTTTAGGGTCTAGGGTGTTAGGGGCTTCTAAGTTTTTAGGGTTTAGGGAAGTTTAGGGGATTAGGGTGTTAGGGTGTTAGGGGTTTAAAATTTAAGGGTTTAGGCATTTAGTCCTTCAGAGGTGGCTTTTCGGTGCAGTGGCCTTTCTCCCTACACATCCCAGGTCTCTCTTGCCCACCTCTAAGGAGGCCTGCTCTCTGAGAGAAGCTTTGAGGCTTTAGGGCCGTTTAGGGCTTCAAGGGTTTAGGATTTAGGGGTTTAGGGGTTTAGGGTTTAAGGATTTAGGGGTTTAGGGTTTAGGGGTTTAGGGGTTTTCGGGTTTCAAGGGTTTAGGAGGGTTTTTAGAGAGTTCCGGCGCCTGACTAGGCCTCTTCAGCTGGTTGAGAGAGACTTATTTGGTTTAGGGCTTAGGGTTTAGACTTATTTGGTTTAGGGTTTAGGGTTTAGACTTATTTGGTTTAGGGTTTAGGG